AGTCGAACTAATGAGTATTGAATCAGTAAAAAAATTCCCCTTTAAGAATTTGTTCGATAGAATAAAAGAGTGTTTTCCATCCTTTCAAACGATGAACAGCATAAATGCTTCATACATCCAACAATAACTCTATGAACTAAATAACTTATTATCGCTGTACAACTGTTTCAACCGCCCTTGGTGATAACCTCCAAGTGCATTTATTGATTCCCTTAAGTCTGCTCAGCTACCGTGCATATTATGAGCCTGACCGCAATGATGATCGCACATGGGTGGATGGTGGGTTGATAAACCCTTTTATCGGAGAAAAAACTTCTCCGCCTGTACATATTGTCTAAAATATATATAAACATGACTGTATTCAATATGGACAAGGATCTCGACCTTGTCTATTATCAATTGTGAAGCCGAGAGGCATGGCTTCTCAGTGTCAGCTATAGAGATCGCCTGAGTGTCATGTAAGTGACGTATATCTTTCTCACTCTGTCTCGGCCATTTAAGAGCTAGCTCAAAACAAGCATATCCTCTGTGTATTCTGGAACCGGGTATCTTGTCTCTAAATGCTAGTCGGTGTGAGGATAATTTACTCATGCAATGTTTGCAATCGATTCTCCAACGGACGCTCCAAATGGAGCTCCAGTCGCTGAATAGCAAACATTCAGTGGATGCATACAGAGAGTTAGAGCTTGAATAGTGCTCTCTGATTTCCGTTCATAGAACTGATAAGCCTCGGTGTAGGCCGCTGCAAAAATGTTAGTTCGGGAGGATGTCCTGTCGGGCGAATAAAAACCGGTGTGAATTGAAAACAACTCGCAGCGGTAGTGCAACAATTGCTGTTACCCGTAAAGATTGCGTTGATACATTTGGTTCACAAAGAAAAACCTCTTGACTGCGATACGAGTGAACATCTTTGTAAATGAAGAACAATCAATCAAATGCACAAGTGGAGAAGATTTCTCTGCTTTTGTCTCTCTTGGCTCTTGATATCTAATGTGGGGTGATTGTCTTTTTCACACAGATCACGATTCGTTCTTGTTTGTCCAAAGCATAGGCTTGCAGATGGACTGAATACAAGCGAATCCTGTTTGACGACTGCAGTCAACGAATTTGAACTCGCGCATCGATTGACAAGTTGCCGATTTATCAAGTTTTGCACAGGAGAAACGTTTCCAAGGGACTTGGTTAATTTCGTCCAAGTAGTCCTGTGTAGTAGAACGCTATGAAACAAATTGATCACATTAGTTTGTAATCTGCGTCACACTTGCACACCGGAGATATTCAGGACGTAATTTCTGCAACCATGAATTGTTCTCGCTCTAAGTTGTAATCCATCGTGGAACAAAAACGGCCAACATAATATAAAAAGCGATGGAAGTGATCACCGACAAAGAGCAGTGGACAATTGTTTCCTCCTGTTTGGCACTCGTCAGCAGTGTGTACTCTCTGTGTCCCTGTCAGGACTCGAACCGCGAACATTCGGGCCGGGACATCAAACCCTTACCCCTGAGCTACATGGTCGGCGGTCATCACGGTGTGCTAATGGTTCACTCAGTACACGGTATCCTGTTTGGATTGATCCATTCCATTATTCACAGGCACCAGGCACTGTTGATTGTCCTAGGTGTGGGTTTCACTCCTTGGGAGAGCGTTAAATCCTCACTAGTTGAATGCATTTATAAGCGATGGAAATGCATTCAACTAATGGGAAATTAAAGATCTCCCAAGGAATGAAGTCCACACTCAGGACAATAAACAGTGCCTGGTGCGTGTGAACACTCAAGTGGATTGATCAAAGCATCATACTCTAAGTTGAAAATAATTCTTCAGCTTTTGGTCTGATGATATGATTGTATTCATAAGTATTAATAAGAACATATGTAAGCGTAAGTATATATTAGTTTATATGCATTTAAGATAACTACAATAAATACAATTGATTACGCTGTGTTGTGGTAAAAATACCATAAGTACTGTTCACTTTTAGTTCACATAATCAAGATGATTTGTGCATCGCAGCGAAATTTAAACAGAGATTTGAATGCAACAGCCAGTTACGGGGGGAGGGGCAAAGAATGAACACAATATTTCATTGCTAGGTGTTGAATAGAATAACAACAACAACAACG